TTTATATGTTGAACCACCCTTGTGTTCTTGGGTTAAATCCCACTGGAATATGGTATACAATCCATTTAATGTGCTATGAATTCTGTGCTAGTAAGTTGTTGTGGATTTTTGCTTCTGTGTTTATTAAGGATATTGATGTTCGTTTTCTTATAGTGTCTTTGGCTGGCTGCTTCGTATCAAGGTAATACTAGCCTCATAGAATGAGTTAGGAAGTGTTCCTTCCTCTTCAATTTTTTGGGAATGTTCTAGGAAGATTGATGTTCATTCTTTTTTTTTTTATTAAAAAAATTTTTTTTTAATGTTTTATTCATTTTTAAGACAGAGAGACAGAGCGTGAGCAGGGGAGGGGCAGAGGGAAAGGGAGACCCAGAATCTGAAGCAGGCTCCAGGCTCCGAGCTGTCAGCACAGAGCCTGATGCGGGGCTCAAACCCACGAACCGCGAGATCATGACCTGAGCCGAAGTCGGACGCTCAACCGACTGAGCCACCCAGGTGCCCTTGTTCATTCTTTTCTAATTGTTTGGTAGAATTCTGTAGTGAAGCCATCTGGTCCTTGGCTTTTCCCTGTTGGGAGGTTTTTGATTACCAATTCAGTCTTCTTGCTAGTTACAAGTTTGTTCAGATTTTCTAATCTTTCATGATTCAGTGTTGGTAGAATGTGTATTTCCAGGAATTCATACATTTCTTCTTTGCTGTCCAATTTGTTGGTATAGAATTGTTCATACTGTTCTCTTATAAGCCTTATTTCTGTGCCATTGCTTGTAATTTTCCTCTTTAATTTTCTGATTTTATTATCTTGAGCCTTTTTTCTTTTTTCTTAGTCAGTCTAGTTAAGGGTTTGCCAATTTTGTTGGTCTTTAAAAAAACTCAGCTATTAGTTTCACTGATTTTTTTTTTTTATGTTCAGTATTTTGTTTATCTGTGCTCCATTGTTTATTATTTCTTTCCTTATGCTTGCTTTAGGTTTAGTTCATTGTTCCTTGAGGTGTAAGTTAGGCTATCGATTTGATATCATGATTTTTTTTTTTAATATACACATACTACCCTTTTAGCATTGCTTTTGCTGTATCACATAACTTTTGGTATTTTGTGTCTTCATATTCAGTTGTGTCAAAGTATTTTTTATTTTCCCTTGTGACTTCTTGTTTGGCCCATTAATTTTTTGAATATGTGTTTAAATTATACATATTTTGGAAATTTACAGGTTTTTTTCTGTGCTATTGATTGCTAGTTTCATTCTATTGTGATTGGGAAAAATACTGTATATTTCAGTCTCCTTGAATTTGTTGAGACTTGTTTTGTGGCCTAACATGTTCTGCCCTAAAGAATGTTCCATGTGTACTTGAGAAAAATGTATATTCTGCTGTTTTTAGGTGGAGTGTTCGGTATATGTGTGTTAGGTCCCATTGGTCTACAGTGTTACTCAGTTCCTGTTTCCTTATTGTTCTTCTGTATGGTTGTTTTATCTGTCCATTATTGAAAGTGAGGTATTGAAATCTCTTAATATTACTGTGTTGCTGTGTATTTCTCCCTTCAAGTCTTTAAAAATTTGCCCAATTGATTTAGCTCTTTAAAAATTTGCCCAATTGATTTAGTATTTGAGTGCATAGATACTTGTAATTCTTACATCTTCTTGGTGATTTGATTTGACCCTTTTATGATTATATAGTGTCCTTTGTCTTGTAATAGGTTTTTTAAAAAATATTTATTTATTTTGAAAGAGAAGGAGAGACCATGAGCAGGGGAGAGGCAGAGAAAGAGGGAGAGAAAAATCCCAGGTAAGCTCCATGCTGTCTGCAGAGCCAGACACGGGGCTTGAACCTACGAACCATGAAATCATAACCCAAGCCAAAATCAAGAGTCAGATGCTTAACCAACTAAACCACCCAGGTGCCCCTTGTCTTGTAACAATTTTTGATTTAAAATCTATTTTGTCTGAACTTGGTATACCACTCCTGTGCTTTTTTGGTTACCATTTGCATGGACTATCTTTTTCCATCCTTTCATTTTTCAACCTATATGTGTCCTTAGATCTAAATTGTTATTTCATAGACAGCATAAAGACTACTACCTTTTAATATTAAAAACTTAGGGAGGGACTCTTTCAAACTTTAATTTATACCAAAATCATTTAATCTCAGATGAAGAGTTGCTGATGACACTTGCTTAGTTTTGAAGCATTCATCTTTTAAATCCTTCAAGCATTTAGGTTATATTCAGAGGTAATGGGGGGAAGGTTAATCAAATATATGGGAATATATTAAGAATGAGTTTTCTTGATGAAGTCTAAACAAGTAGGTGATAAGAATAGGAAAATCTGGGGAAGGGATTTTTAATAAGAACTTTTCTTTTAGCATTTAATTTTGACTTTTAGGTTTTCTTTAAACTGATAAAAGTCAGGGGGGAGTGTTTTTTTTCTCACACATTGGATTAGTTCTCAAAGTGCTGGTTTCTTAATATTGTGTCATTAGTTTTCTACAAATATCCTAACGAATTGAACTCTCTTTATCAGCTGTTGTGAATCAGCTCTTTTCAAAGGTGATAGATACACCATGGTCCACAACCAGCATTATTGAGCTACAGTGAATAGCCATTTTGAACATTCATTTTGGCATTCTTCTTTCCTGGAAGGCTCAAAGAAGACTAACTGTGCCAAAACATTGGCTATATTGTTACATACTTAGGGATTTCAGATTGCCAGATTGCATTTGCAAAACAATTTTCTTTGCTTTTTATTCTTTGTCCCTTAAACATTGCCATTGAGGCAAGATGGGTATGTACCATGGTTCTTTACCTTTAGAGAAAAACCTCTTGGAATAGTTGATATCTTAGAAATCTCTGTAGTTCTTGAATAGATTTTAAATATGCTGGCCTTTTTGTGACCAAAAGCACATTCTTGTAAGTCCTCTGTAAAAATGTTTTGTTAATATAGTAATAGTGTTTTATTTTATTTTATTTTATTTTATTTTTTTTTTCAACGTTTATTTATTTTTGGGACAGAGAGAGACAGAGCATGAACAGGGGAGGGGCAGAGAGAGAGAGGGAGACACAGAATCGGAAACAGGCTCCAGGCTCTGAGCCATCAGCCCAGAGCCCGACGCGGGGCTTGAACTCACGGACCGTGAGATCGTGACCTGGCTGAAGTCGGACGCTTAACCGACTGCGCCACCCAGGCGCCCCTAGTAATAGTGTTTTAATCCTGGAAAAAAATATGATAACTTGAGGTTTCCTTCAGAGGCTCTTTCACATTTGTGGTTAATATTTTGTTAGAATTCATCTTTTCTTGACTCATAACTGCCTGTTTTACTTTTATAACTTCTTCCCCTTTTATGGACATTGTATCTTTATTTCTTTGAGGATCTGAGTTATTCATTTTAATGTTTTTGAAAATATAGTTTATAATCGCATTTTTAGCACGAGTGTTTTTTTGTTTTGTCTTTGGGTACACCCTTCTCTATCTGGTGTTCTTGTGGTTGTCTCTACCTTGCCCCTTGTGGCTGCTTTTTTAAAAGAGAGGTCTTTTTTTTTTTTCAATGTTCATTTCTTTTTTTATTTTAATTTTTTTTTTAACGTTTATTTATTTTTGAGACAGAGAGAGACAGAGCATGAACAGGGGAGGGGCAGAGAGAGAGGGAGACACAGAATCTGAAGCAGGCTCCAGGCTCTGAGCGGTCAGCACAGAGCCCGACGTGGGGCTCGAACTCATGGACCATGAGATCATGACCTGAGCCGAAGTCGACGCTTAACCGACCAAGCCACCCAGGCGCCCCATAATGTTCATTTCTTTTTGAGAGAGAGAGTATGCGATAGTGGAGGAGGGGCAGAAAGAGAGAGGTGGGGGATCCAAAGCCAGCTGTGCGCTGACACGGGGTTCTAACTCAGGAACTGCGAGATCATGACCTGAGCCGAAGTCAGACACTTAACTGACTGAGCCACCCAGGCGCCCCAGAAGAAGAAGTCTTATATTGAAGCTTTGGGTTTTTATTGTCCAGGGATACTGGAGAAATCTCAGGAACCAGTCCCTGAGCCAGTTGGTGACTTTGACCTAAGTCATTTTTGTTTGATTGCCTTGGATCTGTTCCGTTTGCATTGCTTCAGCCTTGGGCTACAGTCACAGTTTTATTGTCTTTCACAGGTGAGAGAGCCCTGCTCTAACCCCTGTCTCACAAAATGAGCCTTAAGTTTGTTCCCACCGTCCATACTATGAGTTGATTTTAGTCCCCATTTGTAGGGTTAATTTCTTAGGTGTCTTAAATAGTAAGATTTTAAAACCAATAACTTGCTTGTTTCTGCTTGCTTCTTTTACTTCTAGGACTATAGGAGGTTAAGGAACTGCTGTGGTTTATTGGAAAGTATGTTGAGTTCTAACTGGATAACCTTAAGACTTTTTGTAATTTTTTTTTTACTTAAAATTTTTTTTCATTTATTTATTTTTGAGAGACAGAGACAGAGAGTGGGTGGGGGCAGAAAGAGAGAGGGAGGCACAGAATCCAAGCCAGATGCGGGGCCTGAACCCACCAACCGTGAGATCATGACCTTAGCAGAAGTCAGACGCTTAACCAACTGAACTTCCCAGGTGCCCTGTTTTTTTATTTTTAAGTGAAAGTAGTAATTTGGACAGTGGTTGTGAAGTTGAAATGTTATATATATGAAAGTACTTTATAAACTTAGAAATATAGCTAAAGTTTAGATTTTATTATTGTTTAACAATAGTGATTGTTTATCACCATCGTTCATCACTATTTAAATCTGCTTTTGGGGCGCCTGGGTGGCACAGTCGGTTAAGCGTCCGACTTCAGCTAGGTCACGATCTCGCGGTCCGGGAGTTCGAGCCCCGCGTCGGGCTCTGGGCTGATGGCTCAGAGCCTGGAGCCTGTTTCCGATTCTGTGTCTCCCTCTCTCTCTGCCCCTCCCCCGTTCATGCTCTGTCTCTCTCTGTCCCAAAAATAAATAAACGTTGAAAAAAAAATTAAAAAAAAAAATCTGCTTTTGATTTTCAGGTTGTTCCATTGACCTGTCATGTATGGCAACAGTCACTATATCAAGACAATAGTGGTATACAGATTTCTGATGCTAATGTAGTCTCTGTGAAAAAAACAGCTCAGTGGGATTCTGGAGATGATCAGGTATGTCTTATGTAACTGGGAAATTATTTTTCTTTTTCATAAGCTGCATGAGAAATTCTGATTCAGCTTTGAAGAATGGTAAGGGGTGAATTACTTTAATATTCCATTTTTCTAATAGATCTTTGATAATCTTAGTTATATAGAATAGCATTTCACTTTTTTTTTTTGTCTCAGGACTCCTTTATATTCTTCAAAAGTATTTTAAGTATCTTTTATTTATATGGACTATCTATATTGATATTTAGCTTACTAGAAATTAAAACATTTAAAAATATTTTTAAAATAACAAACCATTATATATTAAGATAAATAATGTATTTTAAAATGAAAAATAACTATTTTCCAGGACAACTAGTTGGGAGAGTGAGTGGCATTGTTTTATATTTTTGCATATCTATTTATTGTATATATTGTATGTATGTATTTGTAAAATAACGAATTGGCTTTTATGACGGCTGAGAATTCTCAAGATTCACAACCTGGAGACCCAGGAATGCTGATAGTATAGTTGTAGTCTGAATCCAGAAGCCTGAGAACCAGGAGAATTAATGGTGTAAGTTCCAGTTTGAGTCTTGAAGGGCTGAGGACCAGGCCAGCTGATGGTGTAAGTTCTCTGAATCTGAGTTTAAAGGTAGGAGAATACCAATGTACTAGCTCAAAGACCCATCAGGCTGAGAGAGTGAATTCTCTCTTGTTTAGCCTTTTGTTCTGTTCGGGGCTTTAAATGGATTGGATGAGGCTTGGCCACATTGGGAAGGGCAATCTGCTTTACTTAGTCTGTGGATCAAATGTTAATCTCATCTAGACACACAGACATACAGAATAATGTTTAACCAAATATCTGGGCACCTGGGCTCAGCCAAGTTGACACATAAAATTAACTATCACAATTGGATTCTGTTATCTGCTTCTGCATTTAGTCTGTTGGGATACGTTGAAGTATATGAAGAAAATCTGGCCTTACATAGATACATAGAAAAGGGAGGCCCACATAGATGCCTGAAAGAGCATCTATGACTTCCAGGTATCCTTGGACCACACTTTGAGAACCACTGATCTAGAGCATAGTTATAAATTTAGAAGAAATAGAAAAATTGTGAGCAGATAGGGAAAAAGTTCATACATGTTTGTTGGAGGAAAAATGCACCCTTACTCCAAATGGTTAAATATTTAAGGTTGATTATCTAATAAGTTGGGTATCAGATTTCTTCTGGTACCTTCAATTTCCCCTAAATTGCAGTGATTATTTATTTGATGCAAAATATGGAAGAAGGAGATTTGCTATCATCAATGGCAAGGGGTTAAAAGAAACCTTAACAGAAAATGCATAGCACTCGGGGCCATTAAATGGAAGGGGGATTGCAGTGGATTAAATTGTGTGCCCCCAAATGTGTTGAAGTCCTAATCCCCAGTACCTTAGAATGTGTCCTTATTTGGAAATAGGGTGATTGCAGATATAACTTAGATGAGGTCATACTGGAGTAGGGTGGACCCTTAATCCAATATGACTGTTACAAGAGACAAAAACAGTATGCGAAGAGAGAGACACCCAGGTAGAAGTTGGCCCTGTGAAGACAGAGGCAGAAGTTGGAGATAGACTTGCACAAGCCAAGGAATGCCTGGGGTTACCAGAGGGTAGAAGAGGTAAGGAAAGATTCTCCTCTAGAGGCTTTGGATGGAGCATGACCCTGCCAACCCTTGGTTTCAGACTGCCAGCCTCTAGAACTGTGAGAGAATAATGTTGTTTTGAGCCGTCCAGTTTGTGTAACTTTGTTATGGCAGCCCTAGGAAATGAATATAGGGATATACCCCCAAATAGTTTAATATTCTCTGAGGACATGTTTATGGTAGAGCATGGTTTAAAAATAGATATCCTACTTTTTGTTCCTGTCTTATGAAATCTATGCCATGAAAAAAATACATACACAACGGATAGGTCCTGTAGCTCTTCATTTCTGCCTTTATGCCTGGATTCCTTAGCATAGCTGGAGCATTATGCCACTTTCTAATTTCCTCCCCTCTTTTCTCCTTTTTATTCTGCTCATTCATCTTTATTGCTCTTGTCTAAGTTAGTTTTCATTATTTATTAAAAACTATAGCTCTTGCTACACTGTTCTCAGTTTCTTTCACTTCAGCTTACATTACTCATGTAGTGCCTAAAACTCTTGGATCTTTGATCTAACCTGCAGAGATCTTTTCCTACATTCCTCCTCCTAAACCTCTCTTACCCCCATTAGGTTATTCATCTCATGTCACAGTCTAGACCATGTCACCTCCAGCAACTTGAATACAAATGTCTCATCCTCTCTTCTCCTCCAACTGCTGTTTGATTTAATATTCTGCTCCCTGTTAAATGAAATTTTTAAGTTTTCTCTCCATTTCCTGCTATGTTAACCTCATTGATGTATAATTTAATATAGTAAACTTCACTCTTAGGTATACAGTTTGATGAGGTTTCACAAATATATACAGTCATATAACCACTATCACATTTGAGATATACAAGACAGCCATCACCTCAAAAAAGTTCCCTTGTGCCACATTGTAATCAGTAATCTCCCCCATCCTTAGTCCTTGGCAACCACTGATCTGATTTCTGTCCCTATAGTTTTGCCTTTTCAGAATTACAGTGTATAGACTTTTGAATCTGGCTTCTTTCACTTAGCACATGCTTTTAAGATTTATCCATATTGTTGTATGAATCAGTAGTTCTTTTTAATTTTATATTGCTGACGAGTATTCCATACAGGTATAGGTTTTTGGGTAGACAAATGGTTTCATTTCTCTTGGGTAGATACTTAGGATTGGAATTGCTGGCTGGTAAAGTAATTGTATGTTTAATGTTATAAGAAAGTGCTAAACTATTTTCCAAAGTGGTTGTGCCATTTTGCTTTCCCCCACAGTGTGTGAGAGTTCTAGTTGATTTGTGTCCTTGCCAGCTCTTGGTATTATCAGTATGTGTGTACGTATATATGTATGTATGTATATATTTTAATTTAAATTCAAGTTAGTTAACATATGGTGTAGTATTGGTTTCAGGAGTAGAAATTAGTGATTCATCACTTATGTACGACGCCCAGTGCTCATCCCAACAAGTGCCCTCCTTGATATCCATCATCACCCATGTAGCACATCACCACCCCCCAGACCCTGCCACCTTCCCTCCAGCAACCCTCAGTTTGTTGTCTGTATTTAATAGTCTCTTATGGCTTGCCTTCCTCTCTCTTTTTTTTTTTAATGTTTATCTTTTTAAAAAATGTTTTTTAACGTTTATTTATTTTTGAGACAGAGAGAGACAGAGCATGAATGGGGGAGGGTCAGAGAGAGAGGGAGACACAGAATCTGAAACAGGCTCCAGGCTCTGAGCAGTCAGCACAGAGCCTGACGCGGGGCTCAAACACACGGACCGCGAGATCATGACCTGAGCCGAAGTTGGACGCTTAACCGACTGAGCCACCCAGGCGCCCCTAATGTTTATTTATTTTTGAGAGAGAGAGAGAGAGACCGAGCATGAGCAGGGGAGGGGCAGAGAGAGAGGAGACACAGAATCTGAAGCAGGCTCCAGGCTCTGAGCTGTCAGCACAGAGCCTGATGTGGGGCTCGAACTCAGAAACTGTGAGATCATGACCTGAGCCGAAGTCTGATGCTTAACCAGCTGAGCCACCCAGGCGCCCCAGCCTTCCTCTCTGTTTTTGTCTTATTTTATTTTTCCTTCCCTTCCCCCATGTTCATCTGTTTTGTTAAATTCTACATATGACTGAAGTTATATGATATTAGTCTTTCTCTGACGTATTTCACTCAACATAATACACTGTAGTTCCATCCACATTGTTGCAAATGGCAAGATTTCATTCTTTTTCATCACCAAGTAGTATTCCATTGTGTGTGTGTGTGTGTGTGTGTGTGTCTGTGTGTGTATATGTATGTGTATACCAGACACTCCATATCTTCTTTATCCATGCATCAGATGATGGACGTTTGGGCTTTTCCCGTAATTTGGCTATTGTTGATAGAACTGCCATAAACACTGGGGTGCATATGCCCCTTTGAATTAGTGTTTTTATATCCTTTGGGTAAATACCTAGTAGTGCAGTTTCTGGGTTATAGAGCAGTTCTATTTTTAATTTTTTGAGGAATTTCCATTCTGTTTTCCAGAGTGGCTGCGCCAGTTTTTTTGTTTCAAATTTTTTTGCCATTCTAGATGCATTATGGTATCTCATTGTGGTTTTAATATGCATTTTCCTAATGACTAATGATATTGTGCATCTTTCTGTGTGTTATTTGCCACCCATGTTTCTTCTTTAACATAGGGTCTTTTAAGATCACTTCCCTTTTTTTAATGGCTGATTTGTTCCACTTGTTGAATTTGGGAATTCTTTATAAATTCTAGATGCAAGACCTTTATCAAACATGTTTTGCAAGTATTTTCTCCCACTTTATGGTTTTTTCTCCAAATTCTATATATCTTTTAAGCGCAGAAGCTTCAATTTTGATGAAGTTGGTGTATTGATTTTGTTTTTTTTTATGGTTTATACTTCTTGTGTTCTGAGAAATACTGGCCTAATCCTATGTCACAAAGATTTTTTCCTGTCTATTTTTCCAGCACAAGATTTCTCAGCCTTGGCCCTTTTGACATTTTGGGCCAGATGGTTCCTTATTGTGCGGGGCTGTCCTGAATGTTGTAAGGTGTTTAACAGCATCCTTGACCTTTCCCCATTAGACATCAATAATATTTCTCCATGTTATAAACATGAAAAATGTCTCCAAAAATTGCCAAGTGTCCCGTGGTAGAGGGGAGAGGGTGGTGTCAAAATTTTACTGAGTTGAGAACCACGGTTTCTGAAGTTTTATAGTTCTAGCCTTTATATTTACATCTATGATCCATTTTGAGTTGGTTTTTGTATGTCATGTGAAGGATCCAGCTTCATTTTTTTACATATGAAAATCTAATTATCATTCCACCACTGTTTGCTGTAAATATGGTCTTTTTCTCTAGTGCT